TTCGCTGTGCGACGGCCTGAAGCGTTGGGCGCGCGGGCCGCTTGTCGCCTGGCGCCCAGGCAGACGCCCGTCCGAATCGTTACGTGCTCTCTCTCTCTCTGTTTCTCCTCTCTCGCTCTCTACCTCTCTCCCTCGCCGCTCTCTCTCTCTCACTCTCTTTCTTTCTCTCTTTTTCTCTTCATCTCTTCTATCTTCCTCTCAATCTTTTATCCCAACCATCCTGTGGTGTTGGGTCCTGGGTATGAAAAGACAGCGCCCCGCGTTCCTCCTCGCCCCGCGTTCCTCCTCGCCTCTCCTCTCTTCTCTCCTCTCCTCTCCTCTCCTCTCCTCTCCTCTCCTCTCTCCTCTCCTCTCCTCTCCTCTCCTCTCCTCTCGTCCTCCCCCTCCCCCCCCCCTCCTTGCCTCTGCTCTTCGCATGTCTTTGTTTCGCCGCACCCCTCACACGTTTCGTGGCCCCAGATGGAGCTCCACCGACGGCCCAAGTGGTAAGGTTCGCATGGCGCCACCGCGTCCATTTCGACACACCCCTCGCACGTTTCGGGGCCCTATAGAGAGCTCCACCGAAGGCCCCAGTGGCAGGGTTCGCATGGCGCCACCGCATCCATTTCGGCACACCCCTCACACGTTTCGGGGCCCCATAGGGAGCTCCACCGAAGGCCCCAGTGGCAGGGTTCGCATGGCGCCGCCGCGCCCATATCAGCACACCCCTCACACGTTTCATGGCCTCATAGGAAGCTCCACCGAAGGCCCCAGTGGCAGGGTTCGCATGGCGCCACCGCGCCCCCATTTCGGCACACCCCTCACACGTTTCGGGGCCCCATAGGGAGCTCCACCGAAGGCCACAGTGGCAGGGTTCGCATGGCGCCACCGCACCCATTTCGGCACACCCGTCACACGCTTCGGGGCTCCATAAATGGGGCTCCACCGAAGGCCCAGTGGCAGGGTTCGCATGGCGCCACCGCGCCCATATCAGCACACCCCTCACACGTTTCGTGGCCCCATTGGGGGCTCCACCGAAGGCCCCAGTGGCAGGGTTCGCATGGCGCCGCCGCGCCCATATCAGCACACCCCTCACACGTTTCATGGCCTCATAGGAAGCTCCACCGAAGGCCGCAGTGGCAGGGTTCGCATGGCGCCACCGCGCCCCCATTTCGGCACACCCCTCACACGTTTCGGGGCCCCATAGGGAGCTCCACCGAAGGCCACAGTGGCAGGGTTCGCATGGCGCCACCGCACCCATTTCGGCACACCCCTCACGCGTTTCGCGACCCCATAGGGAGCTCCACCGAAGGCCCCAGTGGCAGGGTTCGCATGGACCCACCGCACTCCTGTCGGCCCACCCCTCACACGTTTCGTGGCCCCATAGGGAGCTCCACCGAATGCCCCAGTTGCAGGGTTCGCATGGGCCCATCGCACACATTTCGGCCCACCCCTCACACGCTTCGTGGCCCCATAGGGAGCTCCACCGAAGGTCCAACTGCCAGCGCTCGCATTCGCCAGCCGCACACATTTTGGCACACCATTCACACGTCTCGTGGCCTCATAGGGAGCTCCACCGACTGCGGTGCATACGTCGACGGTGCCCACAACTGCATATGGTTGGGTCTTTCGCCAGGTTTTTTTCTCCCCTCTCTTTCTCTTCCCCCCTTTCTTTCTCGCTCTCTCCCTCTCTTCTTCGCATCCCTATCTACCTTTCTCTTTCTCTTTCTCTTTCTTTTTCTCTTTCCCTTCTCATTATCGTTCTCTCTCTATCTCTCTCTCTCTCTCTTCTCGCCTCCTCTCTTTCTCATTCTCTTGCGCTCTCTCTCTCTCTCTCTCTCCCTCTCCCTCCCTCCCTCCTTTCTTTCGTTTCCCCATGCATCAACCATCCTCTCCAACATCCGTTCATTTATTTTCTCTGGCGGCGGTCATGCTCCCGCTGCATGGTCCCGCCACGCCTCCCCCCCCTCAGCGGTCGAATCGCGCGTCCTCCAGCGAATTCTTGTTGGGGCGCCCGAGGATTCAGCCGAGCCTTCACGGTCAGGCGCCCCTGGATGGGGCTGGTGGACTGGCATATAAGAAGCGCCTGGCGAGTATTGGATTTGCAGCTTCTAATGGAGTCCAGTGGTGCGACGTGGGGGTCGGGGGTGCAGCCTTGCGACCGCGAGGTGCTGGGCCCTGAGTGCGGCGGGTAGGACGCACGAGTCCATTGCTCTTCGCGTCCACGGTGTGCCCGCTACAATTTTTCCTTTTCGCAGCGGGATGTTCGAATCCGACGGGTGGCTGCAAAGGCGGAATTGCTGTGATGGGCCTCCGTGGGCGAGTCAGCTCTGATATGAATATATATATATATAGATAAAGAGAGAGAGAGAGAGAGAGAGAGAGAGAGAGAGAGAGAGCAATGTGGTTTCCTTCGTCCGCCTGCCCTTCCCGCGCCCACCGTCGTGATGCGCGTCCACTCACCGATCTTCACTTCCCTTCTGGCAGTCAACGCGCCTAGTAAGGACGCGCGCCTTCGTGTAGGGTGCCCTTGTGTCCTAGCCTCTGCGGCCCGTCCCTTGCCGTGTTCACTGGTCGCCCGCCGCCCCCCAAAATCCCATGTTCGGCCTCCATAGGTCTTGCGTCCTTACCACCCGTTCATAATACACGCTTTGGCAGTACCTTCCACTTTTCCTTTTCCCCTACCCCGCTCTCACGTCCGACAGTGTCCCAAGTGCATGCTGACGTCTTGCAAGGCCAGGGCGGGCAGCCGCGCCGATTGTTCTGCCCAGGGCTTCCGCCAAAGGCATGGAGCGCGGAACTTTGCATGTTTCATTTTCGGCGGTGGGGGTGTTTCGGAGCCTTCTGAGAAGGTCCGCCCCTTCTCACTTCCCCCTCGCGCTCGCCGCCAGTATGTGTTGCCAGAGACATGAGAACACGCGCACACTTGCTAGAAGAATTAGCAGGTGCATGCGAGTGCTCATGACCATTTGCGGTCCCTATGTGGCCGTCCAGGATTGAGGACGCCAGCTATACACACCGACGCTCAGTCTGGCTGGGTCCTGTCTTATCTTGGCCCGAGATTTTGGTGTATTTCCACTTCCCGGCATGGTCAGTGGTCGGGAAGCGGTTCTTGTGAATCGACCCCGGGCCCATGAAGGGCTTGGCTACAGGTGGAGAACGACAAGGATGATCAGGAGTTTGGAGGACGAGGAGGGACGGGGTTTGGGAAATGGAAAGGGGGGATGCGCTTCTGGTGTATAGTCGGCGTCCTTCCGTGCGCAGTTACCCCCGGCTCTTTGTCAGTCCCAGGTGGGGCTAGACGCTGGGGACGTGTAAGGCCGCGAGGCCATCGTTGAGGGCGCCGGCGGACTCGTGAACTGTCCCACGAGTTATGCCCGAGCCACGCAGTCGTTCATTGCATGCGCTCCCACGCCCGTCGTCCTGCCTGGACCCCTCTTCCGACGAGTTGCGCTCCGGGCTCGAGAAAAGTCCCAGGCATCGAGTCACGCCCTCTCCCCCTCTCTCTCGCACTCTCTCCTCCGTTCTCTCTTCCTCTTTCTCGCTCCCTCTGTCTCTCTCTCTCTCTGTCTCTTTGTCTTTCTTCCTTCCTCCCTCCCCCCCTCTCTCTATATATGTCGGAGGTTGGGGGTTGAGATCGCAGTGGAACGGAGACCCCCAACCGGGAAATCGTTTCGTTTCGTTCGTGTCGTACATGCGGGCGAGGCGAAACTGCGTGGGCGCGCGAGAGGAATGAACCCGCCGTTGCTAGGGTGGCCGTTGCTAGGGTGAAGTCAAGACAAATGATTCTCCCCCTCCCGCCCGTCCGGCGGTGGCTCGTGGTGTCCCGCGGTGTCCCGTGGTGTCCCGCCGTGGTGTCCCGTGGTGTCCCGTGGTGTCCCGTGGTGCCCACTGTTGCTAGGGTGAAGTCAAGACAAATGATTTTCCCCCTCCCGCCCGTCCGGCGGTGGCTCGCGGTGTCCCGCGGTGTCCCGTAGTGTCCCGTGGTGTCCCGTGGTGTCCCGTGGTGCCCGCTGTTGCTAGGGTGAAGTCAAGACAAATGATTTTCCCCCTCCCGCCCGTCCGGCTCAAGCCATTTTGGCTCAAGGTTTGTGCAGGTCAAGCTGTGGCACAACTGGCACACATCTGAGTACACTTACCAGCCCTGCTATCCTTCCACACCGCAACCAATTGATTATCATTTTTCTCTTCTTGCTCTCGCTTCTGGTTGGACATTTTGATCGCCATGCCGGAGAGTCACCCAATCGGTACGCCTAAATATGGGAAGGCTCAGAAGCAACAGCGCTTCGGCAGCCCATTGCATGAAATGGATGACGCCCTTCCAGGCGCGACTATGGCACAAAGTTCAGACAGCGGTGCCGTGGTACCGAGGCGCTTGGTATATTCCGGCGTCGACGTGGAGTTACCGCCCCAGAACATCGAGAACCCAGAGGCCGCAGTCACACTGGGAGCTATGAACAAGCTGTTCCGCGACTACATGGCACCCATGATCAACATTACCCAGGCGCTTGGAAAAGATTTCAAAGACTTTAAATCAACAGTGGGATCTGGAATGGAGGAGCTTGAAATACGCCAAACAAACTTGGAGGACGATATCGAGGAGCTACGCGGAGAACTACAGTCGATGCCGATAACCATTCCAGAATCAATTGAACAGCGGCTCCAAACAGTAGAGCGGGAACTATCAGAACTGAGACAAATTACCACGCCAAGGTCGATCGGAGCATCCACGGTAACCGGACAATCCACTACGACGACTCTCGTGATTGGGGGCCTTCCGCGCGACACTCGATTCGATGCTGATCGCTGGGTTGCAAAAATCCTCGCAGATGTTCAGTGCGAGATGCCCCTGAAGACTTTCAACAAAGGCCCCCCAGCAGAGCCTTTCAGAGGTATGTTTTTCTCCGAGTTCAAATCCCAAGAGTCGTCAGACAACGCGCTCCCAATTCTTCAAGCAGCATGCGAAACGCTAAAGCCAAAAGAAGGGAGTCGTCGCGTTTGGTGCGGCGCGGGCGCTCCAATCGAGCAGAGGACCGCCACTTCAGTATTGCTGGGGCTTCGGTATCATTTTACGCAATGGGGATTCGAGAAGAAATTCCTTAGGGTCGACGGCGACGCCAGAATACTGAAAGCTGGGGGAAGGAAGTATTAGAAGTGAATGTGGTAAATTTCAAACTACAGGTACTCTGGTTGGATACCGACTCGGAGGTTTGGGAAGAATTGTAAAAGGCACCAGAATGGGATGACTTGCGAAAAAAGGCCACGGAGCGCCTGGACAGGAGTGCGGCCAGCTCACCGAAGGGGGTGGGGAACGGCGAAAACATGGATTGAGGGTGCCAAGGGCGCGCGGGCTTAGTTTCACCCTTCCGGAACAAAAGCTTACCGGGAGATCGCTGCGTGTTGCCACGTCTTGGACAGAACGGCCCGGGCAAAGTTACCAACCGTCCCGCTCCAGACGACAATTCTCAGGACAACTCGTTTACCGCGCAACCTTCCACTCTCAAACTTGGTACTTGGAATGTCAGTGGACTCACAGAGGTCAAGGGGATCGAAATATAGGGGTGCTGTGCGTTCAAAAGACACGCAACTCGAAAACTGAAGTCCATGACCTAGATGGGTACACGTTCATTGTGTCTGGCGACAACATAGACGACACAACTTGGGCAGGGTTGGGCATTGTAATTAGACGTATTCAATCTTACAAACAGGTTCCAGACAGGCTTTGCACTCTAAAGCTTAGCATGGATGGAAATACGATTGGGATATTTTGTGTTTATGCTCCACACAACCTTAAACCCTTGCCTGAGAGGACTGCTTTCTATTGCAGCTTCGAAATGGAGTGCAGGACCTGCCGTGCAAATGTTGGGAAGATTCTTCTAGGAGATTTCAGCGCCCGTGTTGGTCAAGCTCGCGTCGGAGACGAGCGCGTAGTAGGTGAACATGGGTGGGGCCGAGAAGCGCTACATGTAGTGGAAGTCCCAAACAGGGACTTGCTGCTCGAGTTCTGCACGGGCGCTACTTTGGTGATCGCCAACACATTTATGGAACAACCGTTGGAACATAAAGTTACTTTCCGAGAAGCTGGGGCACTGCCCTTGGATCAAATATCAGAGGCATCGCATAATATTTTGGATTAGTGCTTTGCCAGCCTGCAGCTCTCAGCTCTTTGAAACGCGTCGCGAGTCGTCGGGAAGCGGCGTTGGCAACGGACCATTATTTGGTCACGTGTCCCCTGGGGCTCGAGACGCCGGCGGCCAGCCATCAAGACACCAGCGAATTCGACAGGGCGGCGGTTCGCGACAATGCAGTGTGAGAGTCTTTCACTAACATCTTCAACGCCCACGGTACCGCAGCAGGTAATGCACAGCAGACGTGGGATAACATGAAGAATGCGATCGCCCAAGCTCAGATGGCCTTGCCGCGCCGGGAGGCCAAGACTCAAAAACCATGGATCACAAGCCGAACCTTGGACTTGATAGCACAGCGAAGCGTGGCGCGATCTCGCAGCGACTGGGAGGAGGGAAAGGCATTGCTAAAAGCTGTGCGGAAGTCTGTCAAACGCGATAAAACTGCATGGCTGGATCAATAAATTGCCGGCGGAGATTGGGCTTCGCTTAAACGTGCATGCCGGCCACGGCCGCGCAAACAGGGGGGCTCGTAAATTTGGACGGCGAACTCGTCGACGGCGAGGACAGGGCAAATACAATGGCAGAGTATTTCGAGAAGATGCAATGGAAAGTGCGCCCAGCAACCTCTATTGCACGTCAACCCTTGGGACCATTATTACCGATCGCAGAGGGCGACTTCACAGTGCGCGAGGTGGGCGTGATGATATCCAAACTAAAGCAAGGAAAGGCGCCGGGGCCGGGCGATATCCCAGCGGAGTACTGGAAGGCGCTGGCACATGACCCCAAAGGGTTGGGCACCATGACGAAGCTGATCAACCAGTGCTGGCGCGAGAAAGATGTCCCCGAAGACTGGCGGCGCGCAGTCATTGCCGCAATCTACAAGAACAAAGGCCCAGTGGATCAGTGCGACAACTATCGTCCTATTAGTTTGCTCTGCGTAATGTGCACATTATTTGCATGCTTGTTGTTGCAGAGATTGCAGCGAGCAGGGGCGGGGGATTGACTGAGCGGGGCGCAGTGTGGATTCAGGCGGAGGAAGGGCGCCGCCGACGCCGTCCATGCGGCCCGCCGACGCATCGAACTAGCACGTGCCGCTCGAGATGGTGGTGTCGCCCTACTGGCGCTAGATTGGAAAAAGGCTTTCGAATCTATCAACGTGGGGGCCCTTTTCGAAGCACTTGATGCATTTGGGGCGCCCCCGCACATGCTTGAAATCATTGGGAATATCTACGGCCCCCGTCGCTTCTGCGTGGCAGACGGGCCCGGGAGGTCAGAGGAACGGGGGCAGCTGTCAGGTATCTCACAAGGTTGCCCACTCTCGCCGTTTTTGTTTGTGATGGTTATGACTGTGTTCGTCAAAGACGCGGAGACGTACCTGCAGGGCGACGTGGCCCAATCACTGTTGCCCGGAAGTATTTCGGTACTTTTATACGCAGACGACACAGTTTTAGTCGGGCGCAACGAACGGCATTTGCAACACTTCTTGGACTTAATTGCACGCGCTGGCGCGAACGTGGGTATGGGGCTGCATTGGGATAAATTTCAGTTGCGAATAACATGTGATTTGCGTATTACAGATCCGTCCGGCAAACTCATTACTCCCACCACGCAGGTGAAGTACTTGGGGGCGACATTGCACGACAGTGGAAATATAAAAGGAGGAGTTGGACAGGAGGTTGGGCGCCGCATGGGGGGTTCCAAAGGTATACGCATGCGTGGAAGCATGCATCGATCAGTCTGAAGCGTAAATTGGAAGTGTTTGGAGCTCTCATCACAACGAAAGTACTGTTTTCGCTGAGCAGTGCCTGGCTGAACAAAGCCGACTGACGCAGGCTGGGCGGATTCCAAGCTCGGTGTCTTCGTTCGATTTTGTGGCGTCAAGCACCCGTATATTTCGAGTTTCAAACAAAACCATATTGGAAAGATCTGGCCAAACACCGTACGCATCACAGTGATTGGTCAACCAATTGGCGTTGTTCGGAAAGTATGTCGTAGCAGCGAGGCTGATGCATTGAGGCAGCGCGCTTTCATGCCCAACAGCGCCCGTCCGGCAACAAGCATAGTGAAACGGTCTCCTGGGAGGCCGCGAAATGATTTGGCAAAATGCTTGTACGACAAGGTCCAGGTCTGCTTCCCGTCAGAACAACACCTATTCGAAGCAATCATGGACGAACAAGCCTGGGGAAAATTTACACCAACGTATAAGGACTCATGCCCGTGAGCCCCGGCAGGCCGCCTTTTGCGCCCTTTGCATGCATGTTTGTTTTCTGTCTCTTCCTCTTCCTCCTCTTCCTCCTCTCCCTTACAGTGCAGGCTGTGCTGAGCATGTTTTCCCGCCCACGCGCCGGACGGCGTATGGCTTGTGTGTGTGTGTGTTTGTGTGTGTGTGTGTGTGTGTGTGTGTGTGCGTGCGCCCGTCCGGCGGTGGCTCGCGGTGTCCCGCGGTGTCCCGTGGTGTCCCGTGGTGTCCCGTGGTGTCCGCCGTTGCTAGGGCGAAGTCAAGACAAATGATTCTCCCCCGCCCGCCCGTCTGTCCGTCCGTCGGGCGGTGGCTCGCGGTGTCCCGCGGTGTCCCGTGGTGTCCCGTGGTGTCCCGTGGTGTCCCGTGGTGTTTCGTGGTGTCCCGTTGAGTGAGATCGATAGTGAGATCGATAGTGAGATCGATAGTGAGATCGATACTGAGATCGATGTGGTGCCCCGAGGTGGCCCGTGGTGTCTCAAAAAAGTGAGATCGATCGTGAGATCGATAGAGAGATCGACAGGGGTCCCGTGGTGTCCCGTGGTGCCCCGTTGAGTGAGATCGATAGTGAGATCGATACTGAGATCGATGTGGTTCCCCGAGGTGTCCCGTGGTGTCCCCAAAACTGAGATCGATAGTGAGATCGGTAGTGAAATCGACAGGTGTCCCGTGGTGTCCCGTGGTGTCTTGTTGTGTGAGATCGATAGCGATATCGATAGTGAGATCGATCGTGAGATCGACAAGTGTCCCGTGGTGTCCCGTTGCGAGAGATCGATAGTGAGATCGATTGAGTCAGATGTTGGTTCCCCCCTTTCCCCCCTTCACAACCTCCTCATCACCCGAAGGGTGGTCGTATGGGTATACATATATATATATATATATATATATATACATACGTATATATATATATATGTATACTGCCCATCACTTTACACGTGTGTACGTGCATCCATAATATATGCATACGTATGTGTATACGGTAAAGTGCATATACACACATTTTTTTTTTTGGGGGGGGGGGGGGAAAGGGGGGCATTTTTACACGCATGTGCATATTTTATATACATACACATGTATATGCATATGAGCACTCACGCCCATACTATATATATATATATATATAATATATATAATATATATATATATATATATACATCTACGCATGTTCAGATAGGTGTATACATCCGTAAGGGCTTGGCCCTCTGCCGCCGTTTTTGTTTGTTTACCATCATTGGCCATAGCGGAATCTTGTGCGGCGACGGCTGGTAAGTGTCACGGCATTTCCAAGAAATCGTGGCCTCGGGGGCGCGACTTTGGCTTGATCTGCCCGTGGTCGTGGCCTCGGGGGCGTGACTCCTGTTCTTCGTTTGCTAGGGATCGTGGTCTCGGGGGCGCGAGTGTGGCGTAATTTCTAAGGCGTTATTTGCAAGGAATTATGGCCACGTGGGCGCGAGCCGTACATGATTTACGAGGGCTCGCGGCTTCGGGTGTCCGAATCTGAAGCTCGGCGGCGAGCGAGGGGGGGCAAGTGAGAAGGGCCGGGCCTTTTCAGAAGTCTCGGAAATCCCCCAGCAATCTGAGAAGTTTTCTAAGCCTTCCCCGAAGACATAATAAACTTTTCAGAAGGCGCGAGGGCTTTGAGAAATCCCGCCACCTTCTCAGAAGGCCTTTTCCTTCTCACTTCCTCCCCTCGCTCGCCGCCGCGAAGCTATTTGCGGAATCGTGGCCTCGGGGGCGTGGCTCTTGCGTCATTTTTGAGGGCATCTTGGCTGCGGGGGCGCGGCCCTGGAGTAATTTGCGAGGGGCCGTGGCCTCGGGGGCGTGAGGCTGTCCTTCTAGAAGGATCGCGGCCTTGAGGGCGCGACGGGGGTAATTTGCGGGAGATCGTGGCTTCGGCGGGCGCGAGCTTGGCGTCATTTGCGAAGCATCGTGCTTCGTGAGCGCGAACCTGGTACAATTCTTGACGCTTCGCGTATCCCCCACCCACTGGCATCGGCCTGCGCGTCCAGCTGCTTGGCATTAGTTTTCGGGCCCGGCTCCTGCTTGTGCAGTTGTCTTGCTTTCTTGGCTTTTCCGTACAGGCCGCTGGTCAGGTTTCCCCACCTGTGGGTACTGGCTTGTGCGCAGTCTGCCGACTGTCTGTGGCAGCTCCGCTTGCGAGCTGGCGCCGTCAGGGCGCCTCCTCGTTTGCTTCCGCTGGCATTCGCCCAGTGGTCTTCTGCGCCCCCAATTATCTGGAATTGCGCCCCATTGCCTAGTGACACGCCCTCTGGACTTCTCCTTGCGGGCCGCAAATCAAAAAAATATCCCCCGCCCACAGACGACGCCTACCGCTCCCTGTCCGCCGCCTCGGAGCCGCCGACCAAAAAATATCCCCCACCCGTTTGTCGCCGGTCCGCCGCTGAGGTGCTGCGTGAGGCCCCGCCTAGCCGCTTTAGGTGAGGCCGCCCTCCGTTGCTTTATGTGAATTTGTCGTTGCGTGCCCCGCTTTGACTGGACTCGCCGTTGGCGCGCTCGCGTGCGGCCGCTGACTAAAAAGTATCCCCACCCACAGTGCGACCGTGGCCCTCGGCCCCCGTCGCTCCCCGCCTCTGCTGGCATTTCTCCTCGGCCCTCGGCGCCCCCCCCGGGGCGCCGGGGCCGGTGCCAGCAGGTGCCGCCTCGGATGAGTGCCCGGCTGGACGGGCTCTCGCCGTGGCCTTCGGCTGCTGGGCACCACTTCAATGCTCGGGGGCCAAGACTCGCCCCGGGGTGCGCCGCTTGCGCGGCCAGGGCGCCTTGCCGACCGGGCGCCCCCTGGATGGAGGGCACTCGCCCCCAGCACGAGTCCCGCGTCTTCATCGACGGCCTGCTCGCCCACGTGGACAGGGTCACGCGGCGCCGCGCCTGACGGTTGCGATGGGTTGCGGTCGGCACATGCAGACCCAACGCTGCGGAGACGTTCGACGAGGTCGTTGAGTGACGCTACTGCAGTGTGGCTACTGCGAATTCACAGCCGTTTTGGCCTGCTACCTGGTTCCCGCCTGGTCCTCCTGAGCTGCGGCTGAGTCCGCTCCCGCCGCCCAGTTTGCATGTGTGCCCGCCGCTTGTTAGCTGCTTGGCTGTAATTTAGGTCGCTGCTAATTGGCAATCTCCTGACGGCGCGCGGCTTCTCCGCTTGCTCTCGCGAGCGAAAAAACTACCCCCCACTAGCCCATCCAGAAATAATGCCCATGAGAGCTGACGGGGGGAGAGACGAAGAGACACGCATAGTCAAACAGCGAGGGAGGCCAGCTTGGACGGCGTGTTGGCGCCATCTCCGGCCCTCAGAGGAGGCTCCGTGGCCATATCGAGCCTTCTTGGAGCGGTCTTGGGGCCTCTTGGAGCATCTTGGCAGCCATCTTGAGCCAGCTTGGGTTATCTGGAGCAATCTTGGAGGGCATCTTGTGCTCCCTGGGGGCGCCCGGGGGCCTCTTGGGGGCCTTTCGGGGGCCCCTTGGAACCCCCGCAAGGCCTATCGGGGCGCTCGTGGGATCTTCTTGGGAGCCTCTTGGGAACCTTGGAGGGCTTCTTGGGGTCATCTTGGAGGCGGTCGGTTAAATCAGGGGGGTCCTAGAGATGCGCCCCCCCCTCGGGGCCACGATCCTCGTGAATGGTGTGAATTGGCCCTCCCATTGGGCGAAAAAGGAGCTCTGACACCTCGCGAAACCTCCCGCAAAATTTCAGGGAGCGGAGGGGGTGGCTCTCCTCCCCGAGGGGAAGAGGGGTTGTGGACGAGGACAGAGGCCCTCCTTAGACCAGCTGTCGCCCAGATGGTTGGTGGGATTTTCAAAGGATTGTGGCCTCGGGGGGGGGCCAGATCTTGCTTACTGTTTAAGGGGTCGTGGCCTCAGGGCAGCAATTTTGAGTAATTTATGAAGGATCATTGCCCTGGGTTGGCGGATCTCCACAAATTTCACGCGTCCCAGGGCCCCCCAGGGAATTTTCGGAACCCAGGGAGGTCGTGGTAATCAGGGCGGTTTGCGGTTCCGCCCCCCTTGCGCGGATCATGATCAATTTGCTGAATGGGGGGCCGGCAGGTACAATGCCCTTTGTAAATGTGGATAGGAGTGGGGGTTGCTGTACTTTCGGCGCGATGCGTTGTAAACTCAGTAAAGAAGCCCGCCGTCGTTTTGGTATTCATACATCACTAGTTAAAAAAAACAAAAGGTTTAGTATTATTATTACTAATACCATTTTTTTTTTTTTTTTTTTTTTTTTTTTTTTTTTTTTTTCCCTTTTTTTTTTCTCCAAAATAGTTTCATATCATTCGTATATTTATAACTGTTTTATATATTGGTAATTCAGTAGTTATAGTATATTTATATATATATCACAGAAAAGTATATCGATATAGGCATTCCACAACCTTCTCTAGGATGGTTTTTGATACATCAAGCTTCATCATGAAGGTTTTTGTGCGAGGCTCCTGGGATCTCAAACACCATCCGCAGGACATTTTTTCTATATATATATATATATATATATATATATTATATATATATATATATATATATATATATATATATATATGTATGAAAACATTTCGTAGGATTCCTGCTCGAAGCTTTTGTAAACCTTAGTCGGGCAAATTTGTTGTTTGAGGGTTTTTGGAGGATCCCTCTTGGACACCTTCCAAAAACCTTCCTCAGGAAGGGTTTTGTTTTGAAGGTTTTTTTGTTGATTCCTTTTGTAAAGATCATCCTAAATATTTCCCCCGGAAGGTTTCTTTGCCTGTTAAAAAGCTTGTGGGTGATTCTTTTAACCAACCTGGCTGCAACCTTTTTCGTGCAGTTTTTTTTGTTTTTTGTTTTTGTGTGTAAGGTTGGTGGAGGACTCCTCCCCCAAGTCGCCTTCAAACCTTCCTCAGGGAGGTTTTTTAGGGACTCATCCTATAATCCTTTCTGATACCTCCCTCAGGAAGGTTTTTCTTGAAGGTTTCGGGAGGGTCCATCGTAGAAGCTTTTTCAAAACCTTCCTCAAAAAGGTTTTTGTTTGGAATGTTTTTGGAATCCAAATCCGTCATCAGGACGGCTTTTGAAGTATTTTGGGATCCTGGAAACCTTCCCCGGGAAGGATTTTTGAAAGGTTTTGGGTTCCTACAAACCTTCCGCAGGATGTGTGTGTGTGTGTGTGTGTGCCTGTGTGTTTGTGTGTGTGTGTGTGTGTGTGTGTGTGTGTTTGGAAGGCTTTCGGGGTCCAGAAAACCTTCCTCGGGAACGATTGTTTGAAGCTTTTGAAGCCTGAAAACCATCTGCAGGAAGTTCCTTTGGAATGTTTTGGAATCCCGAAAAACTTCCTCATAAGCCTTCCGAAAACCTCCCGCAGGGAGGTGTTCTGACAGGCTTTTTAAGGGATTCCTCCGAAAACCGTTCCTTGCAGCTTCCTCAGGATGGTTTGCTGGACGGTGGAAGGTTTTGTGGAAAGGCTATTGGGGGCATTCCATTACATCACTTTCCCAAAACCTTCCCAAGGAAGGTTTTTGTGTGAAGTTTTGTGGGGTTCTGAAACCTTCCTCAGGACATGTTTTTTTTGTTGTTGTTGAAGGTTTTTGGGTTCCTAAAAACCTTCCGCCGGAAGGATTTTTATTGGAAGGTTTTGGGGACCCTGAACAACTTCCTAAAACCTTCCTGAGGAAGGTATGGTTGGACGTTTTTTTTGTTGTTCCCCCCCGAGTCCTAAACGCCTTGCTCAAGAAGTTTTTTCTGGAGGTTTTCGGGGTTTCAAAACCTCTCTCAGGAAGGTATGTCTTGGAAGATTTTGGGGATCCTAGAGACTTTCCGTCGGCATTCCTTTCGTTTTGACTTTTTGGAAGGCTTTTGGGACCCTGAAAACCTTCCTGGGGGAGTTCTCGTCTTTTTGATTGTTACCTAACAGCGAAGACTGATAGGTTTCTAATAGACTTAAAAGAGAGCAGCACATTACTCCACAGGGGGGTCTGGGCAGCCGTTGGGGGCCGTTGGGGGACCGTTGGGGTTTGCCGGGGGGGATCGTTTTTCGCATACAGTCACACACTTCGTGCTTTTCGATTTCCCAGAACTCCATTCCCGGGCCACATTTTGGAAACCCGGAGCTAACTGTAGGCCACTTCGTGCTCTTCGATTTCCCAGAACTCCATTCCCGGGCCACATTTTGGATGCCCGGAGCCAACTGTAGGCCACTTCGTGCTCTTCGAGTTCCCAGAACTCCATTCCGGGCCACATTTTGGATGCCCGGAGCCAACTGTAGGCCACTTCGTGCTCTTCGATTTCCCAGAACTCCATTCCCGGGCCACATTTTGAATGCCCGGAGCCAACTGTAGGCCACTTCGTGCTCTTCGAGTTCCCAGAACTCCATTCCTGGGCCACATTTTGAATGCCCGGAGCCAACTGTAGGCCACTTCGTGCTCTTCGAGTTCCCAGAACTCCATTCCCGGGCCACATTTTGAATGCTGAGGCAGGCTGATGCTGAGGCTGAGGCAGGCTGAGGCTGAGGCTTCGTGGTCTTCGAGTTCCCAGAACTCCATTCCTGGGCATGATTTTGAATGCCCGGAGCCAACTGTAGGCCACTTCGTGTTCTTCGAGTTCCCAGAACTCCATTCCCGGGCCACATTTTGAATGCTGAGGCAGGCTGATGCTGAGGCTGAGGCAGGCTGAG